TGGATGTGGAGTCCTCTTCGGCTTGGGCGGAAACTGCTCAAGCCTCTTATACGGCTAACAAGCCAATCGCTAGCCGCCAGGTGTGAATAATTTAGCACTAGCCAATTACGGGGAACAAATTTGCATACCAGTGGCAGGAACTCTTTTGCACCGTGCATTCCTCTTGCAACTCGAGCAATGCACTCTGCAAAAGAAGCTGCAGAAAAGGCGGGAAACTGGTCCCTGCACCGGGGTCTCCTCTTGCTACAGGAAACCTCCCGTGCAGTGCTCTGCAACTTGACGGGGATAATTCTGGTGCCGAAGCACACACACACAATCATGCCTTTTGGGTCATGACAGTAGACACGCCCACGTGGGCCTGTGAAATCATAGAATCATAGATAATTAGGGTTGGAAGGGATCTCAGGAGGTCTAATCCAACCCCCCTGCTCAAAGTCCAACCCCCCTTGCCCAAACTAGATCATTCCAGTCAGGGCTTTGTTGAGTTGGGCCTTAGAATCTGCATCCTTGGAGATTTTTACCACATCTCTGGGTAACCCATTCCAGTGCTTCACCACCCCCCTAGTGAGAGCATTTTTACTAATATCCAACCTAAAACTCCCATGCTGCAGTTTGAGACCGTTGCTGCTTGTTCTGTCATCCGCCACCACTGAGAACAGTCCAGCTCCATCCTCTTTGGAACTACCCTTTAGATAGTTGAAGGCTGCTATTAAATCCCCCCCTCAGTCTTCTCTTCTGCAGACTAAATAAACCCAGTTCCCTCAGCCCCTCCTCAGAAGTCATGCACCCCCATCCCTTGAACCATTTTCTCTGACTTCCACTGGACTTGTCCTCATGCTTTCTATAGTGGGGGGCACAAAACTGGACACACTACTCCAGATGTGGCCTCACCAGTGCAGAATACAGCAGAATAATTCCTTTCCCTCGATCTGCTGGCAACGCTCCTACTAATGCATCCCAGGATGCTGTTAGCCTTCTTGACAACAAGGGCACACTGCTGACACATATCCAGCTTATTGTCCACTGTAACACCCCGGTCTTTTTCCGCAGAGCTGCTGCTTAGCCAGTTGGTCCCGAGCCTGTACTGGTGCATGGGACTCTTCTGTCCTCAGTGCAGGTCTTTGCACTTGTCCTTGTTGAACCTTTATAAGATATCTTTTGGCCCAATCCTTCAATCTGTCTAGGTCACTCTGAATCCTAGCCCTACCCTTCAGTATATCTACTACACCCCACAGCTTGGTGTCATCCGCAGACTTGCTGAGGGTGCATTTCATCCCATCTTCCATATTATTAATGAAGATATTGAACAAAACTAGCCCCCGGACGGACTCCTGGGGCACTCCACTTGATACTGGCTGCCAGGTAGAAATTGAGCCATTGATCACTACCCATCGAGCCCAACAATCCAGCCAGCTTTCTGTCCACTTTACAGTCTATTCATGCAACCCACACTTCCTCAGGTTGCTTGCAAGAATTCTGTGGGAGACTGTATCAAAAGCCTTGCTAAAGTCAAAGTATATCACATCCACTGCTTTCCCTGCATCAACAGAGCCAGGTATCTTGTCATAGAAGGCAATCAGCCTGGTAATAGATTCATAGATGCTAGGGTCAGAAGGGACCTCAATAGATCATCGAGTCTGACCCCCTGCATAGGCAGGAAAGAGGGCTGGGGTC